AGCCAAATACAGTTAAAGATGGCAAGTTTAAAAAGCAAGGCTCATATGCAAAATATCATGATACCTTCGTCCACATATCAAATGACTCTGGATCCATGATGACGATTTTTGTCGTCGGATCATATCCGGCACCACTCATGTTCATTACAGTACGCATATCAAAGAACTTAGACTTCAAGCTCTTCATATGGTTCATCACATTTTCTTTAGTAAATTCAGTTCCACATTGCTTGTTGACTTCATCAGCAGCTACCTTGTATGCATGCATCTTAAAGTTCTTATCAACCTTTAGACCATCTCTTGCCAACTGAGCAAGAAGAGGGATAAGAACATCATCATGCCTTGCATTCCAATACATGTTAGGAACGCCCCTAGTGTTTTGAGCCTTGTCTACAATTGTTGATTCTGATTTTTTTTTTGCCAAAGGCTTTTTTTTCAAAGGTGATATTGCCTCGACATCAACTTCAATAGACCGCTTCTGTGAAGGGATCTCTGTAGAGTGGGTACCACTGTGATGTGGGCTAGGGGTTGCATGCATAATTGGGTGGCTATTAAGCATATTCATAAATGACATGGGGGGTTGAGTCATACATGGGAAATTATTGTCATAATGGGAGTAAGGTGGATATGAAGGAGAGGGAGCAAAAAAAGGTACATGAGGGAATGGAATGAAGTTCATGTTCATGTGTGAAGGGGGAATTCTAGGGGTTTTAGGGGAAGGGGTAGCTTTGTTGTCATTACCTTTGCTAACATCACCAGAATCAGCCATATTGTAAAGAATAATGCTCCTGTTACACCAAAGTCATATAATGCAAGTATTAAATCAAGCCAAAATTAGATTGAAAATAGACAAATACAATAATAAGTGCAGCGAACAAAGTAAGAAAAAGCAACATTTCATGTGAAATATATTGTAAATTACAAGCCACTCTCGTTTGTGTCACCACCCCGATACCTATTACAATAATCTACCCACATAGCACTTGCAATTTCGTCCCTCTTCTCTTTCCATTCATTCCTTAAATCCCTTTCCTCTCTTTGTGTCATATTCTGCGTAAAGTCGACAACATTCTCGTCATCACCCTCATCATCTATCTCGCCGTCACCGTCCTCAATATGAATGTCCTCATTCAATAAGTCATCGCCCGGATCAACTGTAGCAATATAGTTATGAAGTATAGCACAAGCCAAAACTATATCAACTTGGGTAGGAAAAGGATAACGAGGCTTTGCTGTGAGGATTTTGAAACGATTCTTCAATAATCCAAAAGTCGATTCAATTTTGGACCTTAGTGATGAATGTCGTAAATTGAATAACTCTCTTCTGTTATTTATCGGCCTACCCTTGTGCTCATTTAAATGGTAACGTACGCCACGATAAGGGGAGATGAAGCCAGGCATTGTTGTGTAACCCGCATCACACAAATAATATTTGCCTACAATTATAAACAACACATTGTAGTAAATAGCTATATTTATGTAGATTATAATTGAATATTAAATTTAGTCATTAATAATTAATTACCATCGTAGACCCTCAGCCCATGAGGCTGAGATCGTGAAAGTGCATCTTGTAGCACTCTATAATCATTTGCAGATCCCTCCCATCCAGCTAGAACGTACGAAAATAACTTATTTGGGGTGCATGCGGCTAGAACATTTTGGGTTACACCTTTACGGCCTCTAAAGCGAGGGACAAGTCTAGCGGGAAGCATGGCGTCGATGTGAGTTCCATCTATCATGCCAATGCAATCCTATATATGTAGGGTCCTGTTTTGCTTATGTATACCAAGTGTAGGATCGTGACCTTTAAGAATAGAGTGCGATCTTATAAAAATCTGCGGAAGCTTTACACTTAAACACTAGAGGGTGAGTTTGCGAAGTATATTTTTTTCTTTGCTTCATTTTGCCTTGAACTCATCTATGTCTTGAGTATCTCTTTGAAAATAATTGTTGATATAGCTCTGATACTGCAAAACAAATGTTAACACATAATACACAAAATATATAATATTTGTTATCATCAAAATAAACTAATTTTGGGGTCAAGATTCCTAACAATATATTGTACGAAAATCACTATTAATTCAGACAACAACAAAGTTCATTTGTTCAATTCACGTTAAGGGAATGAGTTCGTTACCTTGAAATAAGGATAGTACAAAGGATTGTTTGCAATCTCTGACGCCAATTCATTTGGTGCTTGCTTCAGGAACCGTCCCCTTATACGACCAACAACTTCTAGGCATTTGTTGAAATATCTAGAAATTGTTTCTCCGGATCTTATGAAATGTGATCTAACTATTCTATTTTTAGTTTTATGTCCTAATATATTCAGAAACATGATCAATTGTTCTTCTACTTTAACATCACGTGAATCCTACAGTAGGCCCGTGACTCTCATTATTCTAACGAGATTTTCGAATGCCTGCGGCCTCATTCTAACATAATCCCTACAGCTTTGACTATAGCCGAAAAATACACGGTTGATGTGGGCATTTCTAGACTCTATCTTTTTCTGTTTTCCCTCCCTATGATGATAGGTGATATTTTTTTTTCTAGCACGAATTCTCATTAAACAAGTCAACACAGTAACGATGGCAGACATAGTGGCATTACTTGACATCCTCATTAGTGTATTGGCATCCATCTCATCCATCTACAACAGTTAAATAAACATTTTTAAACACATGCAAAACCTTAAACGCAAAGTCATCTCTATAGATAACCAATTATAAATAAAATTAGAGAGAAAATATTGTTAAATATCAGATTTTAACAGAAATTACTCAACGTATAGCAGTAAACATACATCAGCATATAACTAACGTCTTCAACTAGCAGATAAAAAAAATTTAGTATTGTTTGAATATAACCAAACCTCAAACACAATCAAGTATCACAAAGTTTTAAAAGATTATACCTTTACTATGTTTTCGAGCAGATCCGAAGGGCCTTTAGGTGATTACTTAAGTAGGAAAACCTATACCAGAAATCAAGACGTCAGATCTGCAGAATAGGGTGAGGGGGTGAACCGAGGTCACTGATCTAAGAGCAAATCGCATCGCAAGAGCTACGCCGGCAAGCTACCTGAAAACCCCCAAAATCACACTGCAGAAGCCTTTGTAAACCTCCAAACAATAAGAAATTTCACCTCGAACTCAATAGCTAGGGTTCAGCAAGGAGGAAATCAACAGGGGGATCAACATTACACAAAAATATGCCCGCGCTTGAGCAAAAATTCGTTGATTTTTTTTATGAAACGGCGGGAAGTGGAAGAGGGAAATGGCGAGGCGGGGGTGACGAGAAGCGGTGAGCCCTAAGGACGGTTTTGTACTCGACGAGAAAAACGGAGAGGCTGAGAAGCTGAGCTGGCCCTTTCATTTCCAAAAAAAGACCCATTTCCGAGCTTTTAGACAGGATTTCGCCGTTCCAAAAAAAACACTATTTGACAAGGTTTTAGGAAACCATTTCTTAAAAAAAAATGAAACAAACGCAGTTTTTGGATTTCTAAAACCACACAAATGTTACTTTTTGTTCCAAAAACCGGGTTTTTCAAAAAAACACCCTCAAACAAACATCCCCTAAATCATGCAAACTGGAAATATACGTTTACATGAGTGTACGTTAACCGATCAGGAAATCTATTTCTGTTTGGATCTACTTTGAAACGAAGTTCAAGTCACATGATTGGCCTCAATGTAATTATGTAACAGATTGAGAGCTTTTGACACATGAATGCAATTTTCATCAATATATGAATGAAGGAGTATGATCATTGTCTATTTTGCTTCTCAACAGCGTGAGTGGATTCTAACCTACTAGGGCGTGTTTCACAACCAATAAGTAAATGGAAAGTGAAGCAAAAAATTGGACAGAAAGTCCACTTTCTTGTTTTTTTATGTTTGGCACTTGGAAAGTAAGAGGAGAGTAATTGGAAACTGAATGGTACCGTTTTAGCTCCTTTCACTTTCTCAAAAATTGGAGAAAAGTGGATTGAAGTTGGAGAAAAAGAAATGTAAAATAAAATTTAATTATTTTTTTAGATCTTCTCCAATTTGACCAATATTTTTATTTATTTATTTTGATTTTCGCCACCACTTCACGGCTTGAGACGTCTCTCACGCAAGAGCTTCTCGATCAGGATTTTAACTTTGGCTAATATTACCCAATCGAAGACAACTAATAAACAATTGAACCAAAGTTGCACAAATCAATGATCAACACCATTTTAACATATTATCAATTCCTTTATTAAAAAACACATTATTAAATTCTAGGATGCAGTCACACAATGACTATGTCTCTTAACATTTTTATTGAGCCAACTTGTGCATACAGCTACAGTTTGGTCGTATTGAAGGTGGTTTTTTAAAGGAAAAAAACAGGGTGAGTTATCTTGTTCATATATCATTAAATCAAAAACTCTAACTTAGGTTAGAATTGAATAGTCTGAATTAAGAAATGATCAAACATTTCATATCCATCACTATTAGAAAAACACATATTCTAGACGGAATTTTTTCCGTCTAGAATGTATTAAACTAGACGGAAAATTTCCGTCTAGAATATTCCGTCTAGGATAAAACATCCTAGACGGAAATTTCCGTCTAGGATGATATCCAATACGGTTAATTTATTTTTAAATTTTTTTTGATATGAACAGGTATTCTAGACGAAAATTCTCGTCTAAGATACATTCTAGACGGAAATTTCCGTTGATGTTTTGACTCATATAAAAAAATAAAAATAAAAATTCCCCAATTCGAAAATCTCCCCCTCTCCCAACCCAAAATAAACACTGATCTTCGTTCTCTCTCTCTCCTCCCTTCACCCAAAAATCCCCATATCCTCAGCCCCTTCACCTTAAACCCTAGAAATCAATGACGCTTCACATTCGAAACCCTATCTCACATCCCAACCCTCCGCCTCTACCTCTTCAACCCTAACGTCAATCCATCAACCCAATGCCTCAGCCTCGATTCCGATCTCCAGCTGTCCCGACTCTTCAACCCTAACGTCAATCCATCAACCCAATGCCTCAGCCTCGATTCCGATCTCCAGCTGTCCCGATCGCTTCTCGTCGTCTCTTGGATCGATTCGGAGAAATCTGAAGGGGTTTCGGTTAGGGTTCCGATTCCTAGGGTTTTGATGGATCCTGGTTAGGATTCTGAGGTAAGGGTTAGGGATGATTGTATTGAGATTAAGATGCAGCTGGTTCTTCCGGTGGATCATCCTTCTGAGGTAAGGGTTAGGGATGATTGTATTGAGATTAAGATGCAGCTGGTTCTTCCGGTGGATCATCCGGTTGCGTTGAGTATGAGAGGGGTGCTTGGCGGTGATGTGGATTTGGAGAGGGTTCGCCCACTGGAGCTGGATTCTGGTGAGTTCAGATGGGAATTTGCAGATTATTATTAGAAATTTATCGTTTTTATTGTAATTATGGGTAGAAGTAGCTTAATTATAAGCCTGTTGCTAATGGGATGCGTAATGGTTCTTTTACTGTTCCTGCAATGAACCGGATATGTTTTTGCTTAGAGTGTAATGGAAGTTCATTCCGTTTTCAATATAATCTGCTGAATAGCAACACTTTATATGACATATGATTCCCTGCCATTTGCTATTGCCAGTGTAACTTTTGATTGGCTCCGTGAATTTTTTTCCCCACTTCTTTGTTTCAATGTGATTATAACTTGACTATGTTTGTCTTTGTCAGTTGGTGGAATTGGAAAACGTTGACATGTTAACCCTCAGGATTCAAGAGTTGAGCAAAGAATTCCATTCTCTTATGAAGACGCTCGTACATGAGAGAGATCTGTTAGTAGATACTTTTTCTCCTTGTTTCTATTTCTTTGGTCACTAGTAATATTAAGGATGTTGTTCTTTAATTTTGACCCATCAATGATTTAGTGTTGTTTCACCGTGTGGGTCTCAACATAATTGCATTATGTAATTTCTGGTTCAATTTCTTTGATCTTTTAGATGCTTTTGTCTTCTGAATTATTAGTGTCTTAGAGACCATGGTCTCCATAGTCCAAACTTCCACTTTGTCATAATCATGACATGATGAGTTTTTCAGCTTTAAGTTACTGCTGAACATCTGATCTAACAAGTCCTGTGCTTTTCACTATATGCTGTTCCAAGTGGTAATATGAGGTCTGTGCAAGCGGACTTGAATTGGGGCATATGCATATACACACTCAAGGAACTGGCTGGAGTTTGTACTTGATTGATTTATTATCTATATAATGTATGTTTTAAGACATTCAAAAACTTCACATGATGCCTTTGCTATTTTTTTAAGTTTATTTTCATTAAGGCATGTTTCCCTCTGGAATATGATGGTCAGATCAACCTCAAAATAGATCAACTTGATGAGGGTCGTATTAGGGATGTTAAATGGGTAGGTTTGGGTATTAAATGGGCGGGCCATAAATGGGCGGGCATGTTTTGTCCATTTACCCATTTATGACCCATTTAACATTTTCTAAATGGTCGGGTTTTTACCCGCCCATTTAATAAACGGGCCACCCATTTGCCCATTTAACTATAGTAGCTATATATATGTATAATACTTTTAGGGTGTTTTTTATAAACTTTTAGGGGTTTTTTTGTAAACTATTGAGGACTTTTTGCAAAATTTAAGGGGCTTTTTTGTAAACTTTTTGAATTATCAAAATATGCACATGCACGTACATAACCCATTCAAGAATAGCATGAACATATTGAACAAGATAGCATTAAAATTACCAAAATCATGTATTTTTTTTTCTTTTTACTATTCCAAGCGCAAAGAACTCAATGAATACATCACTTACAAAATGATATACATTGTTTATTGCAATAACCAATACCACAAAAAGCCACTTATGCCACATCAAAAAGAAATTCAAATAGAGCACAACTTTTTCGAACGTGCAAACCTGTCTTATGAATAAGCATCACAACTCGCCTTAAAATGCCACAATAACCCCAATCAAAGGAAAAATACAGACATAATTTTAATGGGATAGGGATCATAACAAACACATTAACCAAACATCAAACCTCTCACGAGAGTCCACATAATTGTTGAACTGACAATTATTCATTTCAAGCATTGCAATGCGAGGGACCACACCAAACCCGAAAAGAAAAAGGAAAGACAACAAACCTAAAATCCCTGTTCATTGTTATACCCTATTTCATTGTTACACCCTATCAGCAGTATCATTCAGCAGCTGCTTGTTCTCCTCCTTGGTTTTGTCTCTGTTGTTCAGGGGCAACAGTGATCCACTGTTGACAGTTCTATCAGGCAGTTCTACAAAAAAAGAAAAAGAACAACTATATTATTTTTATTTTTATTTTTAAAGCCACATGTGTTAGTTTTTTAAACCATGCGCGCAAGCTCGCACGCACGCACGCACACACAGAGATATATAGATGTTAAACTGCACACAATAACATAGTTTTCTTAATGAGGCATCACAGAAGTCTTTGCTTCCTACGCCAACTGTAGGAAGAGGATAAGCAACTGTGCATCATTATGAAAGAGAAAGCATAGCCTAAATCATTTCCATCTCCAGTTCATCAAGGGGATGCACCTAGGTTTTTAGTTCATCTAAAACTTTCAAGAAACTAGAATCATTGGAGCTCATCATTCAGTTTATATGAGGAGAATCAATTTCTGACTAAAAAAATGAAAGAGAAAGTGATTGCTGATTCAATCTTAGATTGGACAAAGAAAAGCATATCTACATTCGGGCTGACAATATGCAGGTAACCAAAACCATATGCTTCGAAGACTCATACGAGAAACAACATGATAAAAAATCTTAAAGAAGAAAAGCAAACAAACCTGTTAATTTCTGGTCAATAAAAAAATCTTAAAGAAGAAAAGCAAACAAACCTGTTAATTTCTGGTCAATAAAAAATACCACCAAATTTACAGTGTACCTGGAGTGAAAACATGCTAAATGATTCAAGAGAGATGATATATGGTAAAGTCAGAAACCAAAATTAATCAATAAATTTTCCACCGTACCATGCAACGACAACGTCCACTGAGTAATGCTTGTGAGACGCAATTATAAGTAGGCTCTGCATGATAGCCATCAACCAAGAAAGTGTCTTGATCAACCTGCATGCAGACTTTGAATAACTTTGTTTTGTGCATCTTGCTTTAAATGAAAGATGATGTAAGAGAAAGTTGAGATGCCTATTAGAGAAGCACGCAGTATTAACTATGACTTTAAACTTTCTTTAAACTTTTACCTTGCATAGCCATACTTATTGTATGTCCGCACAAATGAATGCCAAGATAACACCAATGAATGTCAAGATTACAGGAAAATTCATCTTTCTGAAGATCTGAAGCCCACAAACTGAGTTGCTTACAATTAAGCAGAATTACTTCAAGTATATTTTCAGGTGGTGGCAATCTAGCAATTTCTGAGCCCTGCACGATATTAACAGGTTATTTGATTTTAAGCAGCTGTTGTGAGATGCAATTGATGAATCATGTTCGGTGGTCTGAAATATAGAATATTATCAAATAAATTAACAGAAGCAAATCCTAGTGAAGCTTACTTCACGGCAGTGATAACTAGGGCCAGGAAGATGTGTAGAATAGAATGTAATGATCCGCAAGATCAAAGCAAGATTAGTATGGCTTAAAATGTATAGATGTAGGTTATAAAATATAATCACTAAAAATATAATCACTAAAACTTGAGCGAACCGCCGATTTTAGTGTGATATCTATGCAGCTGTACAAATCTAATACCTACCATTTTCCTTTAATCGAATGGTTTCAACAAAAACACACGGCTCACTTCGGTTTGCTGCTATAAGTAATATGATCCTTGCTCACTTGAAACACTTAAATCTATGTGCAGATAGCTTTCGTAAATAAGGCTTTGAAGTGATCTGAAAAGTTCTCATGATGAATCCTTTGCTTGTCTAACAACTTTGCATACATACTAGGAAGACAGTCCTCACATGACAATGTAATCACTAATGTATACACAAGATATACCCTTTGCATACATACTAGGAAGACAGTCCTCACATGACAATGTAATCACTAATGTATACACAAGATATACCCGGAACAATTTTATCTTATGGTCAGTCCTCACATGACAATGTAATCACTAATGTATACACAAGATATACCCGGAACAATTTTATCTTATGGTGCATGTCTTCCAAAATACAAAGTCTCTATAAGGACTTGGCTATACAATTCAAATGCCTTGCATTTCAAGTGTTATAGACTTCCCAAATATAACACTGTGTATTGCCATTGGGTCTTACAGTTAAAACGAGAGAATTATTGCTTAATGTGCAGCCTTCAGTTTGAAGGATTTTTGGTACCTTATATAGGCTTTTTAAAGAATTAGAGAATAAAGAACATAGCTGGAAAAATACAACAAGGAAACACAATCACTCTATGATTGGGATGATTTTATAACCTATTTCAAATTTCAAGATTCAATGTAGTAATGTTCTGTAAGGTCATGAATATAGAGTGCTGCATAATACTTAAAATGTTCGACAAGCATAAGTTTTTTGTTACTATCCATTGTTATACCAAATTTTATTGTATACAGAATTCAAGAAGCGATTTTTGATTTAGACAATAGATCATATACTTAGGACTGAGGAATTGAATGCAGATAATTGGCAAATTCATTTGTTTTCAATATAGATGTTAAGAGGAGTCAGTAGGATGTGATTAGCGAAAAAGAGATTATTGATCTTGTACTAATTATTGATTTGGACCAAGGTTGCATAGGTACGGGTACGGACACGGGTACAGGTACGGGTACGGGTACGGGACACGACAAATTTGTAAAAAGTAGGGTACGGGGACACGGCTCATATATATATATATATATATATTAATAATTAATAATTATATTAACTATAGCAATTTTATTATGTTTAATTTCAATAAATATAGCAATTTTACTATGTTTAATTTCAAATTGAGAACTAAGCTCACTCTTTAAACCCAAACCCAAACTCAGGCCGGTTAAATGGCCCACCTAATTATTTAAACAAACCAAAGTCCAAGCTGGTTTTTAACCTGGACCCAAACCCAAGCCCAAGCCCAACTTTCCTAGATCCCTCTAACTAAAACATAAAAGAAAACCCTAGCTTTTCTCTTTGCTCCTATCCGCCGCCTCAGATTGATCCAAGAGATCGGCTCCTCTCCTCTTTCCTCCTTCAGATCCGAGTCCAAGGAGATCTAGGGCTAGGGTTTTCAATGTTCTCCCTCGAAGCTAAGCTCGTCGTTCACTTCTTCGAAGCTCGTCGTCCCTCCAATCTCGTCGTCGACTCTTCCCTCGAAGCTCGTTGTCGACTCCTCCTTCGAAGCTCGTCATCCCTTGAAGCTCGTTGTCCCTCGAAGATCGTCATTTCCTCCCACGACTACCTTCCCTCTTCAGGTTCGTAACTTTTTTCCCCTTCACGCCTTCAATCGCCGTGTTCTTGCCGTTTGGGTGCGGATCCGCACCCAAAACGTACCCAACACGGGTACGGGGCCAATTTGGTCGTGTCGGGGTAACATAGATTTGGACAATTGATTTAGACAATAGATCAATATACTTAGGACTATTTATTCCATAGCTGTGGGCATCGACAAACAGGTACTGTTCCTTTTCGGTTGATGAGCTCGATTCTGGTTACAAAGGGCTTCACCTTTAACTCACATTTTCCCCCTAAATCCTGCTATAAATTTGAGGAAAATCCATCAATTTAAAACTAACCTTTGAGTCCGCGCTCTCCTGAATCCGTTGGAGATTAGATAGTCGGTCCCTGAATTGGGCGATGGTGTCGCCGGAGAGAGCGAGAGCGGAGGCGATAGCCGACTGCTTGAGAGGGAAATCGGAGAGGGACCATCCCCCCGTGCCTCCTTCTCGTTGAAGATTGATGGGTTCAGATGAGGAAGAAGAGGAGGATGACGATGATGAGGATTTGGGTTTGGATCGATAACGGCAACGGCGACGGTTTTTGTTTGGATCGATAACGGCGAAGGCTCTGGGTTCGAGAGGCGGGTGGGGGGGGG